ACTGTGTTCTTATTGCCATTGTACTAGATTCATTATTTCTTAATCAGCCTCGCCATCCAACCTAACTAGCGCAGCTATAACTGTATGAAGGCTTAGCTCCTTTTCATTCTACTCATTTGTAAATTGGGCTTGATCAGCTGCAGCTCCTTTGATGAATGGCAGTTTCTAATTGATGCAAGAGATGTATTCGGGAGGCTGAGATTCCAATGTGAATGAGTGGTTACAGAGGCAACATTACTTTTTGATCCATAAAATTGGTGCCAACATGCTTGTATATGATGACTTTGAGTCTTGGTGACTGTATAAAGTATCTTGTAATTATAATCTATACATGCTAACTTTTTTACTGAGCTAACATCGCATTATAAATGTATGTTTTAGGTATGCATCGTTGAAAATCAAAATGTTCACCTTTAAAAGTCCGGTTCTATTTCAATAATAACAGGGATGGTTTTCTTGATTTTTTCTTCTTCAGATTTATTGTTTGTGTGTAGGAAGGCTATTGATTTTTGTGTGTGTGTTAATTTTGTATCCTGTTACTTTACTAAACTGATTCAGTAGTTTAATTAGTTTTTCTGTGGAGTTTTTGGGGTTCTCTATGTATATTATCATACCATCTGCGAATAGTGATAGTTTAACTTCTTCCTTTCCTATTTGGATTCCTTGTATGTCTTTCTCTTGCCATAGCAGGAATTTAGAAAACCTAAATGAGGGACCAGGAAAAAATCTAATTATAATAAAGTAAAAATCAAAATCAACAAGCAACTATAAACCAGAGACACAATGTGGGGGGCGAGGAGGGAGTAGGATCAAAACAAGGGGTGTGGAAATTGTATGGGGACTATAACCAACATGAAAATGCATACATTGTGCAAAAATTAAAAATGATGTAAAATATATAAAATAAAAAAATACATATATACCACAAAAATGTATAAAATTAAAAAGTCCTCTTCTATCCTTTACATTACAATGTTCTGTTTATCCTTATTTACCTACTCTTCTCCCCAGTCTCTTCTAGTGAACTCTAATTGGCCTGAAAGCCCAAACGTGTATGTTTGTTTTATTTAGTTCATCTGTTTGTTTTCTCAGCATACCACACAAGAGTGAAATCACATGGTGTTTGTCTTACTCTAATTTCACTCTTAGTATCACTGGTATCTTATTTTATGCTGTAGGTCCATAATATTGCAAATGGCAGGATTTCATCTCTTTTGTAGCTGAATGGTATTCCATGGTGGATATATACCATGTCTTCTGTATCCATTCATCTGTAGATGAGCATTTAGGCTGTTTCTAGCTCATGTTATAAATTATTCTGTAGTAAATATGAGGGTGCATACATCTCTTCAAGTAAGTGTTTTTGTATTTTTCAGGAGAATACCCAGAAGTGAAGTAATTGGTGGATAACTAGATTGTATAAAATTTCTATTTTTAATTTTTTGAGGCATCTTCATGCTCCTTTCTATAATGGCTGCAATAATATATTTTTGCCAACAATGTTCAAGGGTTCTCATCTCTCCACATCCTCTCTAACAATTGTTTTCCTTTTGGAGAACAGCCATTCTCACAGGTGTGAGGTGATTAATCAAAACCACATTGTTTTGATTAATCCAATTTTATTTCTATTGTTATTGTGATTTGCTAAAGGAAAAATACAGATATTACATTTAAGTCCTTAGTGTAGAGTTTATTTATTATCATTCGACTCGTATTTTCTTTTTAATTATATTTATCTGCACTCCCCATGTAATAAGAAATGAACATATTTCCAAATGTCAATTGGAAATCTGTGTGTCTTCATGAGAAGTGGCTATTCAGATTCTCTGGCCATATTTTTATTGGGTTTACTTTGTGCTGAATTTTATGAGTGCTTTGTGTATTTGGATATTAATTCCTTTTTGGATATATGATATGCAAATATCTTCTCCCATTCACTAGGATGCCGTTGCTTTTTATTAAATGTTCTTTCTATAAGTGCTAATATTAATGTATCCTTTTCTCCAATTAATATTTCTTGAGTGACTAAATACATATTTTCATATATCCACATATTCTTAACCCTAATTCATGTGTATAGTTCACTGTATGTCTATTATAATTTAATGCTACTTTTTATATCTCTAAAATTTGCTAGAAATATATTTAACTGATGTTTCTGGAAAACATAGACTTATTAAAAATAATGTTATTTTCTAAAATTATTGAAATCAGATTACTTTTTTAAGAATTGAAAATGACTTTTTTTACCTTTAGTTTGAGGGTTCTTAATTGAAGATCAGAGAGGTTACAACCAGCAGTCTTTCAGCAGACCTCCTCCCCGTTATGATATGGTCCCTTATTGGTGGTAGGAGGCTCCCCAGGTGATTCTAATACACCTCACAGGCTAAGAGCCACACCTGTAGCCCAACCTCATCTATAAATCAGAAGAGTGAGCCCAAGGAATAGTGCTGACCACATCAGAGATGTTATTGCAATAAAGAATCAAATCTCTGGGTGTTTGCTCAGTCCACCACGCCTTTTTTCAGTGATTTGTAAGTATGTTCTTTGTAAAGAAGAACTTAAAAGGATCTCATATGTCCATGAATGCCAGGTAAACCCAGTTTCCTTTAGTGAGGATTATCTTTGAGTCTTTGATAAGGCAGTGTGTGCTTTTATGTTCCTGATAATGTACAGCATTTCCTCAATATACTTTAGAAGGGAATAAACCCCTGCAGTATCTCCAGTGTCTGATGTAGTCTGGAACTTTTTTTTGACAAATATTATCTAATAAATTAACCATTTGCATGCGTATATTCACAAATACTAAAAACTGTATCATGTGTGGAGGATGGAAAAATTTAGTCTTCCATTGATATGCTTATTGTTAATGCTGCCTTTTTAATGAGTAGTTCTAAATATAAATGTATGGCTAATTGAAAGTTTTGATACATTAATCCATGAACTAGATGGCTTCTTAAAGTAGATTGTGTGGCTCCTCCCCTGGTGTTTCTGTTGACTGGGCCTGGGGTCGGCCCTGAGAACCTGCATTCTAAAAAGTTACAGTGGAACTAACGCTACTCCTCCAAGGATAACACTTTGAGAAGCCACTGCCTTAAGCTAACTGCTGAGACTTCACTCTCAGAATGTTAGCAGCAGAGAAGGACATTCATTTTAGTGTGTCCTTTCCACATTTATGTTAGTAATGAAAATAGGTTGTTTTAATATGTCTTTTTTCTTCTTCTAGTCAAATATGCCCAACAATAGATAGTACAGTTAATTTTAAAATGTGGTAAAAATTCACAGCTGAATCCAAGAAGGAATCCCAATTATTTTCATTCTTAATTTATTGAGACCAGGGCAGATGTGTTAGTTAAGTGTATTTTTGCTCTGTGATTTCTCTCTTTTTCTTTTCATCTGTGTTCTATTTCTGCTTTCTGAGCCTCTACTTTAGACAAAAGTAGAAATGATGTTTCTTGCATGCCACTATTTTTCCAAATTTTAGATTTTTTAAAAGATTTATTTATTTTATACAAGAACCGGGGTACAGGCCAGAGGTGCAGGAGGGTGAAAGGATTCACCAGAGACAGAGCGGGGAAGAGAACAGGCAGACTGACGAAATACACTGCTGAGGGGAGCAGTGGGCAAGACAGGAGGGGTCTGCTGCGCCATATGGGACCCTTGCTGGTCAGCTGGGATCGAACCCGTGCTGCAGAGGCTGCAGACAGCTTCACAGCAAGGTGCTCAACTGCCTGCGCCACCAGGGGAGGCCCCAAATTTTAGATTTTCAACACTACTATTTTGTTATTCCGTATGTTCAGTTTAACTTTCACACAAATAAGAAATAGTTGTCTGTTCTCAGTATTTTTTTATTAATGACCAATTTTATAATTTCACATACCCACAAACAAAGTATCACATCCACAGTCGTATCTAACTGAATCAGTTTTCACAGAGTAGTACACCTTATGTAGAGTGCATTTTTATGTTTTCTTTAATGTTTCATTTAACAATAATTTGGTCATAAATTAATAAAATGATTTAATTACCTAGAGATATCTCAGACCCAACAGATTTAGAAACTTTACCAGTGTCTATTGTTGCTGCTTCCTTATGAAAAAATACATTCATTTGTGTTTGTATAAATGTTAAAAGTGTATCATTTCTATCACTGCAATGTGCTGTTAAATGTAATTTTTTTTTTCCAGTTTTGGTTTCAGAAGATCACTTTAGGAATATGGAAAACTCTGGTTTCTAAAATGAAGTTGAACTTACAGGGTTGTGATTAAAAACAGAAGTTAGGGAAGAGATAAAAACAACTATTTGAACTTAAAAGGTTTAACATAATCAGCCTAGATATTGTTACATGAATGCAGTTGAGTGAAATCCTTAGTTTCCTGTTAAAGGAAGGCAATAAAGTAATTCAGCATCAGGAGCATAGTTTGAATAGATAGAAAATTAATTTTCAACCTTAAACTCCTGTGGGATATTCTGAAATCATTATTGATTGAATCTCAGCTCCTACCTTGCAGAACAAATTGGTTCTAGTTAAGGTTTAATTGTAGTGACAGTTAAAAGAGATCTTTTTAGTATACTATTTTTAAAAAACAAATTGATACAGCTAGAAATATGCAAAAATCAGGGAAAATATGACAAAACAATTTTTCATTACTGATCTTTTTGTGGTTATACCATTAGTTGTTAATTCAAGGATTTTAATCAACTATATTAAAAATTTGGTAAAATAAATTGTGGAATTTATTTCAAGGGAATAAATATAATACGACTGAATTTAAAAGCACCTGATCTTTTCATGCACATTTTAATAAGGACAAATTTGGTCATTTAGCCTGGACTTGAGTAATGGCAGTACTGAGAAAATTAATATTTTGGCATTTTATTTTAAAATACCCTGATGGTTTTATTTTTTAAAGAATGTGCACTTAGCAAATAAAAACATGAATGTGAGAATCTGTGTTAACTGAAGTTGTAATACTGTTTATCGTCTCTTTCCTTTGTAGCCTGAAAAAAATGACAGTGAACCAGGGAGTCAGAGGATAAAACCAGAATTTGAACATGATGCAAATTTTGGACGACGAATATCCTATCAGCATGCAGCAGTCCACATTCCCACAGACATCTACGAGGGCTGTAAGTAAAAGTATTTCACGTTTGGGGGGAAAAAAAAGAGCAAACGTGGTGCTGTTTTATTTACATGTTATTTAAATTTGTGGTAAAGTATGAACTATATGCATGAAAAATGATAGCTCACTGTGGATATTTGTTGTGTCTGAACTACTCTCTACCATTTAGTAAATAAGTATACTTTCCCAATTGACATCAATAGCTTATTAGTAACAGATAAATGCTTTAAAAATCAAAACTACGGATCATGTATGCAGGTACACAAGCAAACATCCTTCAGAAACATTCAGGAGACAGATGTTTATTTTAAGCTCTACAGATCTTATCACATCTTCTGTATTTTTCAGTTTCCCTTTCTTTGTTTCTCTAGAATATAGGCAAAATATTCTTCCCTTCCAATAAGTTGTGAGCTCAAGATAAAAAGACATGTTGGGAAGAACTATGAACAATAAGGCCTAAAGAAATAGAAAACCACTAAATGCAAGACTTGATTAAGAAGGCTTCACTGTGAAGGAGGGAAGAAAGATATTTAGGAAGATACAGGGAAGGAAGCTTTGCCAGTGATGTTTCTCAGAAACACCCTTTCTATTATCAAGGGCACAGCCTGAGAATTCTGAGGAATTTCCCATGGACATCCCAGTCTTTCATGAGGATTAATTGTGACTCAGGAAGCAAGAGCTCAGAGATGCTACTTTATGGTGTTCTAACCCTCTCTCCACCAGCCCTTAACCTTCTCACATAAGTAAATAACAAAGATTGATAGAACCACTTCACATTTCTAAAAGCATATTTCCCATATTCCTGTTAGACTGCAGAGTGTATGTGGTATCGGGGTGTGTTCAGAACTGCCTAGATTCTGGAGCCAGATTGCCAGAGTTCAGATTTAAATTTTATTTAAATTTTTTTTAAGAGTTATTTATTTATACAAGAACTGGGGTACAGTCAGAGACGCGGGAGGGTGAGAGAATTCACCAGAGACAGAGTTGGGAGCAGAACAGGCAGATGGAGCAGCGGACGAGACAGGAGAGGTCTGCCACACCATGTGGGTATCTCCCTGACCGGCTGGGAATCCAACCCGTGCTGCAGAGGCTGCGGACAGCTTCACAGTGCAGTGCACAACCTGCTGTGCCACCAGGGAGGCCCCAGATTTAAATTTTAAATGTAGTATTTTCTTAGGCAAATCCTTTAACTTCTCTGGGCAAGTATTTTCTTTACTGTAAAATGAGATTAAGATGACTAATTCAAGAAGGCATTTGAGTATATAAAGGTTAAATTCTCCTAATAGTGCCAAACTAATAGTAAATGCAATTTAAATGATTGCTCTTACTATTAATGACAAAGTTTCTTAGATAAAGTAGACTAAATGCAGTTGCTAATATTATAAATTGGCTTTTATTCTTTGGATTCTGAGATTATTTGTTTAAAAGGGAAATTTTAAATGCATGTGTGGTTCTTTTCCTATTATAAATGTCATCTATCAAATTATTCTTTTTGTTTGTGCTTTTAAATTAAAACCTATATGGTATGTTCATCCTATCATTTAAAAATATTAAACATAATTTACTTTAATGATCTAGAATAGAAAAAGTTGTGCACGTAGGTGGTTCCTCATGGTACACAAGAAATGTTTGAATTCTTTGCAATCCAGCTCACACTTTTAATTCCAGATTCTTTCAGGAACTACCTAGGGTTTAGATACACATTTGTTTTCACTTTGACGGTTATGCTCCTCTTTAAAGAATTATCATTGGTAATTCTAATTTCATTTCATACTGAGCTGTATGTTGTGTTTATATTTTTTTAAGAACTATTTTCTACCTTATGTCAAATTTTTTAGCCAACTGTTGGGTATATCAACAAATGTGTTTCTGTTTTGTTGTTTCACTTGGGAGTTTTTTCCTTAAATTTGGCAGTGTGTAAATGTCAACCAAATATTGAAATCGGTCATTTATAGTTGTAATGTGGAACACTTTGTTTCAAATATATACTTATATGGAAGACTTTAAAGAAATTAAAACAATAACCACTCAGAGGTGCTTGGTGTGACCAGAATCTTAGCTACTTACCAAACTTTTATCCTCTTTGAGAAACCTTTGTTTTTCCAGTATTTGAAGCACATAAACAATTGCTGTGCCCAAAGAAAGGGAACATAAAGATAAGTGTAGTGTGGTTTTAATCTGTTTGCTTATTGATTGAGCAGGTGGGGAAGATGAGATAGTTGGTATAGCATGGTTCCCCTCTCTGTGTTTGTGTGGAAGCAAGAGTGACTGGGTGGCAAGTATAACTTGGGAAATAGGACAGTTTGATGTTATAGCCCAATCCATATGGCAATTTCAGACTTATTGCAGTGTGCAAACTTAGCTGCCAGGCTACCCCACCGGTGTCCTCATACCCCAGCTCCCTCCCTTCAGATAGATGAAATATTAAATGAGTCTTTTAACACCCTCCCTACTTATTTTCATGAGTGAACTTTAACTCAATTATATTATTTGGGACCAGGATTATCCTTTGGAGATGGTACTATACGCATACAGCGTGAGAATCACTGTTCTTTTCTTCATAGTCATAATTAAATCTCCATCTATTTTATGCTGGAACAGATATGAGTATGATACAAAAATATAAATCAAAGCATAATTTTTTAAAAGAACATTAACGGTCACATAGTATACACTTACTTTTTTTACAGTATCCTATAAAGGCATTGGCTATGTGTAAATGATAGTCTTTCCAATTTAGAATACACTATTTGGAAACATCTATAGAGGATAGTTTTAATAGTCCCAGAGGATAAAAAAATACTTTAATCACTTTGGAAATCAATAAGATAAAATATTTAAATGTTTTCAGAAGTGAAGACACATTTTGATATATGGCATTTTTATTTTTTAAAGAAGTGCTGTCTTTGGATTGCTTATTTAGTCCCATTTATCTTAATATTGAATTCTCTTTCTTTGCTGAAATCTAATCAGTGTGACTGTGACCTCGCCTGGCCTGTATTCCTTTAAAATTCATATCTGGTGTTGTGGACAGAGTGAGTCAATGGCAATGGAGTAAAATCAGAAATGTCAACAAAATCTTGAAAATTTAATAATTACTGGTATTCTTCATGAAGTTCATCAGAACATACAAGATTTACAGGATTGTTCTAGGCTTCTGAATTTAATAAATGTGAAAGTGCACTTCAATTGAAGGCTTCACTGCAGGGAACAGCTTCTTTTCATTTAAAGACAATTGCATAGTTCTCATAAGCATCATGTACTAATTTCAGAAAGGTGATGCCTTTTTAAAAAATTCCTTAAATTGAAATGTAATTATTTTTGCTTAATGATATATTTAAAATTTCAGAATAGTATATTTATGTTCAAAATTTTTCATTTTTGAGAATTTCATTACTTTTACTTTAAAGGGTACCCAAACCAGAACTAATCAGATTTAGCTGATCTATTTAAGAGCATAGAAAACAGCATAGAACTTAGTAAAAGAAGGCCTGAATATTCTGACAATTTGGTTTTAATTACAGAACTTTATTAATTTTGTAATTACTTTAGATTTGAGTATTGAGAGAGTGTTTATAGAATATTCTGTAGTCATTTATCCATGGAAATTTATGTAGATATTTATTTGTGAAATTACTATCCTGTAATATATTCCAAAAATACATTAACAAGAAAACTAGTAATAAGGACCTTGATTTGCATAACACTTCCAGGCACTTGATTCTCTTTTTGTCCTTACACTAATTTGATAATGTAAGCAAGGCAATTATTATTTCTACTTCAGAAACTAAAAAAAAAAAAAAAAAAAAAATCCAGCTTTTTATTGCAAAATACATCTAACAAATATTCATTTTTATAAAAGACAGAAGACTTCAAGAATTCACCTTTGAAGTCTCATGCTTTACTAAAATATTTTTAATAAATTGAACTACTAATAATCACTAATACTGTGTTGTGATTTATTTTCATGTTTACTAAAAATAAAGCAAATGATGCTGCAAAAATTATGGAAGGAAACTGCCCTGCTTTTGCTGACAGCTGTTGAGCTAACCTTCTGTAATCTCCTATTGGCTGATTATAGAAGGTCTGATCTGTTCCAAAATAATCAACATTTGATTATAAAGCAGTATTAGTTTACTTTTGACTTTTTTTTCTATGTATTTTCCCAGTTTTTTTGAGATACTTTTCCAATTCCATCTCCCTTCTCCTGCCTGACCCCTTGTCTAAACCCTACCACTGCTTCTGGTAACCACAAGGCTGAAATCTTTTTCTATGAGGTGCTTTTGTTTGTTTTATTCCTATATATGAGTAAGGTCGTACAGTCTTATTCTTAGCCTAATGCCTTCAAGGTTCATCCATGTTGTTGCAAACACTGGGATTTCCTCATTTATTCTTGTCATTGTTTCATTTTTGAGGCAACATTGGTTTGCAATAGTTCCCTAAAATTGTATTGGATTTAAATTGTAAATTAATCTTTCTGTGTTTGTTTTTGAAATATGCATTCTTTCCTTTTAACTACATCACCTATAATATCTGTTAATATATTTTAATTGCAGTTCTAGTATGAGTGCACAATGTTTCTTATCTAATACTTTTTTTTTAATATTTTGTTTTATGGAATATCTTAGAAAAAGCTGCAGGAGAGAGTTTTTCTGTCATATGAAATTATGAATTTTGTTAATATGTGAAGCAAAATCACTTACATAATAAAGTAATATTGTAGGGTTGATATAAAATGTTACTAACAGTTATTATTCTAATAGAAATATGGGAAAGTTCATAAGATAACCAGGACTATATTAAATTTGACATGGTATTACCATTTGATTGTAGTAGTCAGCCAGTGATCAGGTGAAATTTTACTAATTTAAGAAAATTAGTTTCAGGTACATTTTACATGTAGAATATATATCCTGGTAAAAAAATGCAAAGTAAAGATGAAATTTTATGTCTAGCACATTCATTTAGCAAATATTTTTGAAGTACCTGTTACATATCATGAACTTT